AGTGGGTGGCATACAAAACCAATAAACGAAACGAAACGAACGATTCAGGAGGGCCTCAGAGGAAGTTCTTCTTCCTTGTTTATCACCTGTGTGGTATATCCTAAGAACACAGCAGATAGAATCCTCACTCTGACAAATACACCTGGGTATTTCTACTTAGGCTTCTCCACAACAACAACAATCCTGTAAGGTAGGACAGACTGTGAAAGAGCAACTACCCCAAACTGCCAATGAGCTCCTTAACTGAGCAGAGAGCTCAATATGGATCTCTCCCAGGTCAGAAAGCCAAATTGTCCCCTTCTAACCTTTGGCCTTTTGCTGGGAGGTTAACCTTGCCTTTTCAAACATGGGGATGGCCAGAAACCCTGATCTCCATGAACACAGCATGGTCTCCCTCCTCTCCCCTTCCTGAAAGGGCCTCTGGCTAGAAGTGCCTGCATCCCTCTCAATGAAGCCCCAGGATGGGAGGAGAACCCCCTCCCAGGATAGGAACAGAGCAGGGTTTGGGGGAACACTGGGACCCCAAAAGCTCTTCTTGGCTGACTTCTCAAGCACAAATGCTGCCTTACAATCCCTGAAATGCCTAATTTTATTGGGATGTGAAAGGCAGGAGAGAGATGTACACTTACATAAAGGTAAAGGTTCCCTTTGCACATATGTGCTAGTTGTTCCTGGCTCTAGGGGCGGTGCTCATCTCTGTTTCAAAGCTGAAGAGGCAGCACTGGCCAAAGACGTCTCCGTGGTCATGGGGACAACATGACTAAACGCCAAAGGGACACAGAACACTGTTCCCTTCCCACCAAAGGTGGTCCCTATTTTTCTTCTTACATTTTTTACGTGCTTTCAAACTGCAAGGTTGGCAGAAGCTTGGACAAGTAATGGGAGCTCACTCTGTTACGCGGCACTAGGGATTCGAACCGCCAAAATGCAGACCTTTCTGATCGACAAACTGTGTCTTAGCCACTGAGCCACCGTGTCTCTACACACTTACATACACACTTCTTTTTTTTTTTTTTTGCCCTGAATATACTTTTTAATCAGGACTTTGCTGGTCACATTGTGACACACAACGTCTCCCAAGGTTTCTTTGCCGGAATTACCACCAGCATGGCAAACTACCTGAGCTGCATTGTCAGCAGGTCAACTGATTAGCAAAATCTCCAATAACACCAAAAGGGAGCAGGACTTATTTTTTAACAAAACGCGTTTCCAGAGATGATTCAAATTTTCAAACCATGTCTTAGCCTATATCCGCTGCAAATTATAGCAACTAATCTCCCAGTCAAATTTCAGCCGAATGTCAAGTTTCAAATCAGTGTGAACCAGGGACATCCACCTCGGGGAAGGCAAGCAACGTCCCCTGGGAACTGTGTCTCCCAAGGGCTCAATTTCTCAGGAAGTGCCGAATGAGTGGCCAAAGCCAGCAGCGTTCCTTGTGGCTGACGGGCACAGGCCCTGGTTTGCCAGGCTCTCCTCTCCAGCACTGGCTTCCTGAAAAGATACCATCTCCCCCCACCCTCATCCCCAGATTGAGATACCCAGCTTGGCTCCAGCCCATTGGAGCTTCCCCTGGCCTCCAGCAATGGTGGAGAAGGAATTTCCCCAGCTGCCACTGTAACATGCCTTGGACTACAAATTCCATCATGCCCGGCTGGAAAGTTGTCCTCTTAATAGATGCAGAAGGCTTTGGGCTTGGAAAGAGGGGCACAGAGATCCTTCCTTCACCCGTATCTGCTGACCTGGAGGAAAACCCACCAGCTCAAGCCATATTTTTAGGAAAGTCTCTATAGGTGGGCTCTCTAGCAAAAAGCAGTCCGCCTCCTTTCCAGCCCAACACAGCATGAGTCCTGTGGATTGGCAGGGGACACCATCCATCAGCCACTGCCTTCCAACCACAATTGAATGCCCCCCCCATCCACTTGTGCATGCAAGTGAGACCCCCATGCATGTGTACAAACTCCACCCCACCCCCATGCAGGGGTGAGTTTTCACCCTCCCCAGGCTCCGGAGGCTTTCCTAAAGGCTGGGGAAGACAAAAAAACAGAGCCAACGAGCCAAACGGAAGTTCGAGAATGAACTTCTGGTTGGCCTGCTGGCCTGTTTTTCGCCTCCCCCGCCCTTCCGAAGGCCGAGAATCAGCTGGAGCTAACAGCTGAGGTGCCAGCAAATATGGCTCCACATGCCACCTGTGGCACGCATGGCATATGTTTGCCATCACGGGTCCAGGGGCACGAGGGGATAGATTGGATGGGTCTTTACTATAAAGGGAAGGATAGCCTCAAGCCAAGCCCAACCCTATGCCATCCTGTGAGCTGCAGCCTCTTCAAAAACTTTCCAGTCCAGCCTAGAACCCTGGGACTCCCTGGAGTCTTCCATCCAGCTACAAAGCAGGCTCGATCCTGCTTGGGGGCCCTGAGGATGCAGCCATCTCCCACAGGGACCATTCACCATCTCAGCTCCCCACAAGCAAGGTGGACTTCTTCCCTTCCCAGCTCTGAACCCCACCCCCCACCCCCAATGTGGCTCTATCTAGCATGCATGAAAGAAGAGGGCCTATGTCTTCCCTTAAGCCTGTGCACCATCAAATCCGGAGTATCTTGCGGGAATGGCCTGCGGGCTGCATTCACATGTTCTGGATTTGAATGAAAGCACTCATACCCTATTCTGTCAATCAAACCAGGCTAAGCCCAGTCTTCCCATCTTCTGGGTTTGTTTCTAAGGGGGCTTCCGAACCCTCCACAGACTGGCATCCAAAGGCCACGGGTGCTGTTCTATGGGGCCGAAAGGGAAGGGGAACCAAGCAGGAACCCCTCTTCCCAATCACCTGTGGGGGTCAGTGAAGGACGGGCAGTGGAGAGTCCTGGCCGAAGGAGCCATGCCCAGAGGAAGGCACCAGGCTGGAGAGGCAGCCAGATCAGAGGGGCCATCCTGGGAAGGATGCCCTCACCCTGTGCCAAGGCTGCCTCCGCTGACCAAGTGGTCTTACACTTGCAGAGCACAAAAGGGAGAGCACAGTAGAAAGCTGGCCCCGTCCCAGCTGCAGGCAGAGCGGGAGCCAGGGCTGGGTGCTCCTCCGTGCTGCAGCCAGCCTTGGCACCCGGCCTCCCTGTCCCTCGCTCTGTTCTGCCACCCCGGGCCTCTCCAGCCTCCGGCCGGCCTCCCCCCTTAGTGACGACTAAAAGCGGCACAATCTGGACAGATCCCGGGGGTTACTCTCTCCCCAACCCCAGTTGAAGAGACGAGCATCCACCTGTTCCGAGGGGGCCTTTCCATTCCCAGCCCCGGTGCCAGCCCGCCGCTCGGAGGGGGTGGAGCAGCAGCGGGAGCAGCGCGTAACGCTGCATTTCATTTCCCTCCGCGCCCGCCGCCGCTTCCCGGGTCCGCCGCGCCAAGGAACACCGGGGGTGGGTGGGGGCGCCGCACCGGACACGTTCCGGCCAGAGTCCGAAGAGCCCAGGCGAGGGCAAGAGAGGGCAGCGGCCAAGGGCGGCGGAGCCTCGCCGGGCACCGGACGTCCAGCTGCCTCCGGCGACGGGGCTGGAGGCGGCGGCGGCGGCGCGTGAGTCCCCCGGCCGGATCTCCGGGGCTCGCGAGCAGGAGGAGACGGAGCCGCTCTCCCCCCTCCCTCCCCGGCCACAGGCTCCCGTCCGGCGGGGCGCCCTCCTCCCTGCCCCCCGCGCGGGACAGCGTGCCCGGCCTGACATCCCCCGTGGCCCTCCCGCCGCCGCCGCGCACTCACTGGCTTTGCCCGGCTTGGGCCTCTGCAGCAGCTTCTGCACCGCGCCGACGTCCTCCGCCTTCACCGCCTGCATGAGCTCCTGGTCCTTGCCCATGGCGAGCGGCGGCTGGGCTGGCCCGGGCGGGGTCCTCAGGGGCGGCTCATGCCCGGCCGCGCCCCAGCCGGCGGCGATGGGGGCTGCGGGAGCTGCCGGGCTCGGGGCGGGACGGGGCGGCGGCGGCGGTGGCTCCTTTGCTGCAGCGGCTGCCGCGGTCGCGACGCGCAATGGAGACGCGCGGCCGGGGCGCAGCGCCTCGCCGGCGGGCGGGGACAACTCGGCTGCCGGGCTCCAGCGGGGGCTCGCTCAGCACAGCCCCCGCCGCCTCCTCCCCCCCTGCAGCGGCGGCGGCGGCGGCGG